AAAAAAAAAGCACTAGAAAGTGTTATGAGAGCCAAATGGGGATGGAAATCCCATTTTCAGGAAAATTAGGCAACATTAAGTTGAATAAGAAAAAAAACCAATCAAAATGTTCACTTGAAGACGAGGGTATGAAACGAGTTAAAATAGCTACCAATGAATGATGAATAGTTGCTTCCCTTTACTTAATCACCTTCAAACTAACATATAAAAATTTAGTTACAAGGATAACTCTTGGTGTTGGGATCATAAAAAAAATAAAAAAAGACTTAAATTTCAAAGAGAGCCCTATTTTTACGTGAAGTGAAAACCACAAGAGTATGTTGATAATCCTCAAGCCGGTACTCGGGACTTCAAAAAAGTTTTATATAATTGTGTGAAACATATTAAGAATCTTTTGCAATTTATCCACAGTAAATTAAACAGTCATACCATTTGAAGGTGGAGAGAGAGAGAGAGAGAGAGAGAGAGAGAGAGAGAGAGACCTAAATTTTTTAAGCCCATATGTACTCCAGATCATTAGTTGGAGGACAGAAAGGGCCTAGAAAAGTCTTGTGGAACTAACAGCGCAACCAATCAATTCCGCAACAATCAACATATAGAAGAAAATTGGATTTCAACTATTTTTGAAATACTCTGGCTTGCCAAATAGTTCACTGGTCAAATTTCATCTCTGTATATCTGCAAATGAAACAATACTTTCTTCAGTAGAAGGAATCTCAATTTTATTGGTATGCTGCATAATAAAAAACCCACTTGCCTGCGAGGATTCTTTTGCCTCTGGGCAAAATCAGTATGTCCAAGCTCTGCTTGAAAAAAAACTACCAAGTTATGCATGGGACAGGAATTTCAAATATGTTACGACAAATAAAGAGTTCATTGTATCTAACCTGGTTTCTGTGCTGACTCCATCACACCCCCAACATTTGTTGTATTGAGTTCTTTACTGAAATAAGAGTAGTTGGGCTTACTATTTGATACAGATAAAAAAGCAGGTGAAATGAAGAAACCTCATCCACTCAACCAAAAACAAATTACCGCATTCATTCTGAATATAAGATAACACAATGGCAGCAAAAAAGTAAATAAATGTCTAAATGCATGAACATGAGAGATGAGTTCACATTTCACCATGATAAGTGAGGTGGGGAAGAATATCAAACGAACAACAAACAAAGAGATTGGTAACAAAGTGGTTTAGGTAATCAGTGAAGAATAAGATCATGTGGTTGCATGCACTATCTTATCTACCTTGAAGCAGAATTTACGGAAGATATCTGTCCAGATGGGCGAGCTTCATACGAACCACCAACAGCAAAGGTCGGACCATATCTCGCCCCCAGTGCTCCAGCAGGACCAGTTAAAATTGGTAGCCTGAATAGCATCGTAAAATAAACTTATAAAGAAAATAAATAGAAATCAAGCCAAACGACTGCAAGGTAACTAATAAATATAATGTAAGAAAATTAACAAACATGATTTACAACTACACAAATAATTAGTCAATCATAATCAGGTTTGTATCTAAACAGGCCATGTAGAGCAAATTTATGCATTTGTTGGAAAGATTTGAAAGTGAGAACAGTTATAACCAGGTCATTTCTGAGCTCCCTCGACCAAGCTGTGGTTGACCAACATATCCAGGGAAGGCCATGCCCACTGCAGGAACTCCTATTCCTCCAGGATGCTGACCACCAAACTGCATCACTATATAGTTCCACCAAGCAAATATGAATTAAAACAATTTTCCACGTGTGTAAGCAAAAAAACAAGAAAATGCAAAATAGTTTTATCAGTAGAGCATTTATAATTTAACGTGGCTACATTTCATATTCCTTCCCAACCCGGCCCAACACTTCATGATTAAATAACCGATACCACCATAATGTTTGAGGACAAAAATAAGATAAAACAAGACTAGTACCCAGAAGGACATTGACAGTTCCTGTTACAAACCAGAATAATATAGGCATCTCAAACAAGAACTAGCTAAAATTCTCCATAAAAACCCGATATCCATTACATGATATCACAGAAAGGACGGAAAATAACTTCTAAATTCTCTAAGGTTCAGCTTAGGAAGAAAGATAAAGCATGAAAGCCTCAGGTAGTGGCTATGTTCAATCACTGAATTGGAACAAATGTTAGCAATTATTTCCTCTTCCAAACAGGCAAAAATTTTAAGGTCGACATGATCTCCACAAAAAGGCAAAGCATGCAAGCATATTACCTGGCAAGAAAGCCGGGAAATTTGGATCTCCATGACCACTGCCTATATTTCCAGAGGCCCCCTTAACATGTGCTGCGCCATACAAGAAGGACCCCCTTCCACTGCCATGAGTGATAACTTGTCCTTTAGGGACCAATGCAGTCTTGGATCTATTTGATTCAGCTACTAGCGGTTCAACTGCATTCCCAGCCTCACTGGTTTCTGGTGGGGAAGAAGCTCTTGATCCACGGGGTGTAAACCGAGCAGTAGGTTGAGCACGACTTTGACCATGTTTCCCCTGAACTGCCTGCAGCTGAATCACTGAATTTACCCCGTTGACTTGATCCTGTGGAGCCACTCTTATTCCTCGACCAGAGTTCATAGATGGAATAGATGAAGGCACTGGCACAGTGTTTGCAGACTTCCCAGCAGTAGCAGAAAGTGAATTGTCAATATAACGCTCATCCACTCTGACCGCTGATGGCTGACTACGCCGGTTAATTGTACCAGCTTGAAAATCCCCGTTTCTGGGGCCACTATTTTGTTTTGTGGATGAACCAGATGGATAAAATGGGGGAGAAGCAATGTTCAAACTGGATGCAAGAATTTTTTTCCTGGGCAACACCGTATCAGGCCCAAAACTAGATGTAGATTCACTGGTTTTTCCAGAACCAACATATGAAGTATTCTCTTTTGATTTCCACGACCTACAGATAAATACATGCACAAATGAGAACATGAAGACTTCAAAATATACTGAAGAGCCGTTAATTTTTCACTTACTGTTGTTTGGTATGGGTGAGAGGCTCCTTGTTCTTAGAGGATGGTTGATACCTTCGAGGTCCTCTCCCCCTAAAGCTCTTAGGTTCACTGTCCTGATTGTTGTTATGCTGGGTGCCATTACTAGTGAGTTCTCTAGGTCTATTTTCTTGAGCAAATCTATTTCGACCACGACCTCGATTACGTCCCCGCGGACCACTACTATGCTGCATATAAGAATTCAAATTCAAATAATAAAGGAGAAAAGTTTGTTTTTAAAAAAGAAGCACTTCAACTCAAAAGTATACATCTTTTGACATATGTAGAATATTCACCTCTACACGTGCCCTTCCCAGCGAAGTTAGCTCCTCAAACTTATCATGTCCCCACTTCCTATCATCTTTTGACTCCCATAACTTTCTTCCTCCAAGCATCCGCCTAAAAAGTCAAATACAACATAATTGGAGTGAATTTCCCAAAAAACTTTAAGGAAATCAGTATGGTAGGACATGTTAATTAATAATATACATACAACCTGCATAGTACACTTCTCTCTTATTTATAATCCCAGAACAAGCCTCAAGATATAGGTAACAATATGGGTTCTAAATCCAACACCTCAAGACATCTTTCGCGATTGGAAAAATTAATATATACACAAGTGCTAAAAGGAAGAGACTGAGGCTAATTATTATTGGAATTGTTGCCATCCATTCGTAAGAGAGGTCTTCAACCTAATAGTAATTATAATAAAGCTAGATTCATCCAACCTCTCCTTTCAGGACATCCTTGCTTAGGGCTTATGTGTACAAGAAAATTGAATAGGCCTTCACCGTTATATGCATTCCACTTGCATTCTTTTCTCAAAATCATTAACCAGAAGGCATATATGCATTCTGAGTACAAATAAAGTTGTGGAACCTATCTAACTTCAGAACTCAGATTTATATTCTTCTTTAAACTTTTATGATCGATCTTTTATTTTCTTCAAGCGACAATGGCAACGGAATTCCTTATGCAGATATCCACATTCCAAAACACGTTCTATCATTCAAAAAAAACTAGCATTTCAATTCGACTAAGTGAAATCACTCAAAATCAAAATGAACAAATTACATTACCTGTTTCGCCCACCAGCACTGTCCCGAAACCTATCATCATGCATATAGAATGCCCCATCTGTAGGCACGGAATAAGGCTCCGTCTCCTTCTTTTCGCCTTCAGGTTCCCCATCCTCAGTATTCAAATTATTCTCGTTCATAGCACCAGTGTCATTCTTCACCCTCGTCTCCTCCTCCTCCTCCTCCTCCGTGAGGCCTCCATCTTCCCCTGCATCACCTATTCCCACCGCTGCTGCAAACCCTTTCACACTGCCACTTTCCTCGTCATCATTGGCATCCCCTAACTCCTCCACATACTCATCCAAATCATAGTCTTCCTCGTATTCCGCCGCGGCGCCCGCAGATGCACCATCTGAATCATCGGTCTCAACCCCACGCGGCGGTTTTCCCCCAATTTCGCCTCCATTCTCCGCCTCGTCGTCGCTCGCCTCCGCTCGCCTCCGCATCTTCATCAATAGCTTCGCCTCCTCTGGATCGCTCTCGTAATCGATTTCCTCCGCCGCCGCCGCTGCTGCTGCCATCGCCGTACCACCAGTCTGGAATTCTACAGTATTTTCCGGTCCGACGCCAGAGAAGTTTAGGGGTTTAGGGGTGATATTACAATCCGAGATTTTAATGCCTGAAGATGTGAACTTGATTTACTCTAGATTTGTACAATCGGTTAAAGGTGATTTTTGTTGGTATATTTCTTTTTTCTTTGTTTCAAAACAAGTCAAATTTAACTCAATAAGATGTTTTCGGGTTTTTTTTT